AATAAACATCATGATCAACCTCGTGTAAGCTCATCAAAGAAAGAATACATATTGATTAGTGTTACCGAGGTTCAAGGAAAGTCAGTTTCGAAATACTACACTTAGTATGAGATGCTAAGATATTTGCAAAACTCCGGACCACAGATGTATGCAGTGGGGAACGAACACGCGCTGTTGTCCTTGCCGGGGAGCAGCGCACTTCACCACTACACCATCCGGGTCCTTCGCTTTGCATGTCTCTCAGCTAGTTCTATCGATCTTTTTGCCATCAGCAATCACCCGTCAACGGGATTGATCTGGGGAGCCAATATCGGCATTAAACCCAGTTAAGCTGAGGCCTAGTTATAATCACAATAATGCGCTGGTGTTTTACTAATAATGTTATAATGCGCTGCTCCCCGGTAAGGACAACAGCGCGTGTTCGTTCCCCACTGCATACACCTGTGGTCCGGAGTTTTGCAAATATCTCAGCATCTCATACGAGTTATATTTCGCAACATAACCTGCCATTAAGAAGAAAAAAAAAGGCAGTAAATGAAAGACTTAAGATTGTGACTACACTTAGTGTTCAGAAATGTAGGAAATACTCATCGATTCTTGCCGTTACTCAATCAATAATGTCATTCATCTTTTTGGACCTCATGAGCGTCAAAACATATTAAAGGTTAAGTGAAGAAAGACTGTTTTCCCATGCCTAAGGTTGTCAACAGACTAACATAATAAAAAAGAATTTATTTTAGTCCTAGTTTCGCTTCATTTTATGCATTACGTTTATATTTGAATTGTGTAAATAAACGTTGATTAAAAGGGAAATTTACATTTTCGGCCGAATGAAAAGCTCAATATTCCGCGCGACTATTCCAATTCGATTGTTTTCGCATCGAGACACATCAAAAATAAACGTGGTAGGTGTTCGGTTGTCAACACTACGTCTAGAGATCACACTGCTTCACCGCGAAATCGACATCTATAGTGGCCATAGACGTGCAGTAAAGCAATTTTGTATGGCGGCTCCTCATGCAGAAATTCATCAGAAAAATATGCTTGACTGAATCCAGGCTTGTACAGGATAACTTGCAGCATCACAGCGAACTCTTCGAGAATGTTTTTCGCAGCCGACGGTAATTAAAGAAGATTAGTTCTAAATGCAGTCCATCGAGATGGTGCATTATGTAGCATATTTTTTCTTTCTTATTGCAACAATCATGGGAAAACCTAATAGATAATGGGAGGATATCACCTGTATCACCTGTAGACCCGTTGATCGTCGAGTGACTCGAGCGGGCGCCAGTGAATCTTCCATTTTTCCCTGTCGCGCGCAAGAGTAGCCCAGTGGGTTCTGCTCGCTCTAGGGACTCGTCGACCATCACATCTTCCTTCAAGGCACTTTGTGAAGAACTCTGACCATCGGGTCGGTGGTCTTCCTGCAGTACGTTTGATATCCAGTCACTAACGGCTCCTGTCCATCGTTTGTCATTCATACGCATTACGTATCCTGCCCACCTTATCTTCAACTGTTTGGCCGCATGGTGTGGTGGTGAGCGCGTTGCTCCCCCCCTGGAAATGGGAGTATATCATAGGAAATAATTCCAAAATGTCATCGAAGCATTTGTGGTCTTATGGATTTAACAGGAATAACTTCAACCTGACGAAGTTCAGCCTTCCTACTTATTCACGTCCTGTTTTGTAAACGTATTGTACAAACGATTTATGGGTATGCACCTAAAATCGGTGATGATAACAACTTTTCCACAGCGATGGTGTTTCTTGAATTCGACTACACAGCAATCAGTTCCATACGGTAGCGTTAAGTATGTAGTGAGAACATCTCAATTGTCGTAGGAAAAAAAGTGGAAAACAAGGCACATCGGAGATGTTTCCTCATTCTTTAACCACTAGGCCAATCGTCGGTGACGAAGAAACGAAGAATCGCATTATACTGTCATTAGCCTAACCATTATAACTAAAAGCACCACTGCTTTACGAGGTCATCTGTCTCCATCTTATTCTGGATAGGTGCTCTGCAGGCGACGGTCACCTAAAAGGCCTCCTTTTTTAATTTGATTAAGATGAGAAAACGTCCTAGAGATTAAGATTTCTCAACCTATTTAATAAAATATATTACACGTTGTGAGAATCCTTCTATCGGATCAAGGTCATCGTCTTTGCTACGATGGTCACTGAGGCCATTGGGGCGCCTTTGAACAGAGTAGGCGGCTTTGCGAGACGTCTCGTGAGAACGAACATTGGTGGCGGCAGAAACTCTATCGATAATGACTTAGCTGTTGAAAAAGTACAAACAACGATGAAATAACACTATTTAGTGCATATTTTCGATAGCAGATTAGATTTGTTGCCTACTCATCTCTTAATGAGGCAGGTTTACTCGTATCATCGCTTCATTCTTTCTCTTCCTCCATTTCCTCCTTCTCGTAATTTTTTCCTCGTTCTTTTTTTGCTCACTTTCAAGTAATCTAAGGAGAATAGAATAGGATTGGTAGGTGATACTGCAAAGAAATGAAGCCACTTTTCAAGTGTGTCACGACTTTTTGGTTGCATTTTATCAGCTGTCATTCAATTGTTCACTGTCCTAGGACGCTTGGATCGGATTTCAGTACCAAACTGAAACACAAGCTTGCACATCCTTACAATGTTACTCCATTTAGCAGAGTAAAAATTCTCGTACAACAAAAGAAAAGGACAAACATAAAATGTCAGCGACGATTAGCTCACATTTGAAAGCAACTGAGTTTTTGGTAGCAGAACCTCGTGTATTTCCGCGTGACAAATGAAGAAGTTCTCGTCATAATGTACTAAGGTTATCCAGCATCGACCTACGCACTACCATAAAACGTCGAAGATGTGAAGACTGTTTCTAACGCGTTTCTCTTCTTTTTCGCATGGTCAAATACATTTCAATGTCAACAAGAACCACAAGCATCTACTTATCATCTCTTCATCACATTTGAATCAAACTAACGTTTGTTTTCGTGAAAACCCAGGAAAAAACTCGAAAAAAATCGGTATATCCATTCGAAATTTTATTTTATTTTTATTTTATTTTATTTGAGCCCTCTTCACGTCTTCTATGCGGATCCCAGCACTTCTCACATTCAATTCATCTCCTCGCACCCGTCGTCCGCGAAGGTCTTCCAAATTTTTACACGTGGCTTCGGTTGCTGGTTGAGGATTTTCATTTCATCTTGAATGTCGTAGAATGCTGGCAGAGCAATTCACCCTGGAGTCCTGAGATAGCCGGGCTGAAGTATTCCCAATTGGATTGAAGAGAGTGACTTTTTCCCAGACAAGTCCAGTACCAATTTCCCGACCCCGGAAGAGATGAGAGGCTTGGTTGCCCAGGTGTGGAATCGAACTGCCACCATTTTCATGATGTCACGCAACACTACCATTGTGCTATTCGCCAATCCATTGAACATAGAGATCACGTAGAGTTTTGATAGGCATATACGGATCTATGAGAATCTCGTTCAACGTTAAGCGAACATTTACAACTACATTCATGATTTATAACAAAGAAAACCTGGAAGATTCTGTATTCTTGTAGAGCCATTCTAGTTGAACAATTTCTTATGTTGGTATAATAAGGGCCCTAAAGACTAAATGTAGAAGTTGAAGTCGACAAGTGTCGATAAACTTGAGATTGCGTCATTTTAAAACGTATAAAAAGTACGAATTTCATTGTTTACGGGTAACGACTCTGATCATTTTTAGTACAACTAGTCAAATATCGACAAAGTTGGACGTACGGGTTATACAAGTTTCACCTGTAGATGGTACATCAGAAGAAAACAGAACTAAAAACGTAACTGAAGATATTATCATTTAAACAGTTAGAGCGTCGTTGACTTTGGCGATGACTGGCAGGCGTTCCCGACAGACAATGTTATCGTGTGGGTGTAAGCGATTGAGGTCCACACAGTCCTCGCTCTCCAGGGATATTTACCCGATGCCCACACCATATACTATTATATCAGTGATCTTATAAGATCATCACTAAGTATCTAGTAACAAATCTATAGTCTACTGGTATCTTAACATAAATAAACATGTAAACAAAAACAAACACCACCAATCAATAGACGGCAACGTTTGATAGACATCTCCAGATTTCCCTATGCAAAAGTAACCTTTTCCAATAATTTTAATATTTATGTGCTGCTGATATTATACGTCCAGTTTTTTTTTCCATTGCCATACTATCCATTATTAAACGTTCTTTTCACCATTCTATTTCGCTGGCTTTTTTCTTCGCTTTATACGACGTTCGTGCTTGTTCCTCAACAGCAACAGTCCATTCTTCAGGAATTCCTTTTGTTCTTTAATTTATTTATATGACCCGTCTTCACGTCTACCGTACGTATCCCAGCAATTCAAATATTCCATTCGTTTCCTCGCATCCACTGCCCACGATGATCTTCAAACTTTAGGTGTTACTTTTGTTGCTGCTTGAGGATTTTCATTTCATCTTGAATGTTGTAGAATGCTGGTCGAGCAATTCTCCCTGAAGTCCTGAGATAGCCGGGCTGGAGCGTTCCCAACTGTACTGCAGAGAGTGACTTTTTCCCAGACAAGTTCGGTGCCAGTTTCCCTACCCCGGAGGGATGAAAGGCTTGGTTGGCGCGGAGCGGAATCGAACTACTACTATGCTCGTGATGGCGGACATCACTACCACTGTACTATCCGCCCCTCGATATTCTTCAAGAATACGATTAAGAATTGAAATTTGACCTGGTTTCGTATTACCTCATGAACAACGCACTGTTTAGGCCGTATCACTAGCTTTCTTGGGATTACATAAATCTTTGCAATACAAACTAGTAAGGTCTGCCGCTATGTGTATCAGTAAACCAACTAGGAATTGAAATAGTGATAAGGCATGCGAGCGGAGATGAGGCAGCTTATATCAGGAAGTACTCATCGCAGTACTGCTGTCAGCACATCCACAAGGGGAGACCGAGAGCCGCCTGAGTGCAGTGGCAATGGGGGCAGTGCGTACTTTAGGAAAAATTGAAGTGTGCGTCGTAAATGTCTACTGCAGACGAATCGTTGTTGTATTAAACGAACGACGAAACGTTGTGACGCTCACCGTCGCCGTCATCGTCTGTCTCGCTCTTAGCGATCAATTCGCCGTTTCTGGCGCGTGTTCAAAATATCCGCGACGGCTGGCGAGGCATCCGGCCAATGAGGGCCGAGAGGCTTCCTCGGCACTCGATCCACCGCTCTGACGTCGATTTTCGCACAAATCAAACTCACATCTCACTGCCGTTACTCCGACTTCCTACAGAACACATTGTAGTGTCAGTATTACTTCATAATCAAGTATCACCTCTCGTTCGGCAGAGCATGGCGTCGACCCCGTACCTCAACTGCCTACGTTGCTCTCTGTAGGGTGCCATTACGTGGCCGGTGTAGTGCAGATAGTAAGACCATAGTGATCATCTTTTGTGTATCCCTATTTCAACATTCCTCGTCATGTTCACGAATGGTCCCGGGGTGATTTTACCGTCTGACCTGCGTCTCCGACCGTCATCGGCGACCCTATACGCTTAGCTCCCCTCACCACTCCGACTTGCACACGCTATTCTCTGCCTGGCGTCGTCTCATTGCTTGCCGTGCTCTCTCAGCACATGTCAGCACCCCTGCGTCGTGCTGCCTTCATTTCAGCGCTCTTTCGCTCCGTCTGCGCTCTCATCGTCATCGGTGTGCCTTCGAATCGTTAGCCCCTCTACTACCCGTGATTATCGAAACCACTCCATCAGTGCCGTTTAGTTTTCCTTCTCTCCCATATAAACTCCATTCCACATACCTTTGATACCCACATACGAAACGTACTCCTTAAATCGTATACGAACCCGCGTTCTGTGCACGTACACTCCGCCGTTTAATTTTTCCAAGGCTACCGCGTCTTACGTGCTTCATACTGCTACGGATTGAAATTGTAACGCTGATTTCTAGACGAGAGCTCATGAGATAGCACAATGGCACCACCTGCTAGGCCGCGGTGTATTCGAAATTAGCGGGGGAGCGACGACGCTTCGTGGGAACGCAAGCAGTGACGTCACAATCGATACGCCGTCGTCAGTGTCGGCGAGGAGAGTGCACGACGACACCCGATTGCGTGTATGAATGTGTGTCGGTGTGGGTGGGTATGTCTGTGTGTCCGTATGTGTGAATGTTTGTATGTCTGTGCATGTGTGTGTGTGTATGACGGTGTGTATGTCTGTGTGTATCGGTGTGTATATGTCGGCGATGAGTGACGGCGTTTTGACCGTCTCGTTTCTCTGTCTGTGCGCCGCGCTCAAGAGTCGGTGCTCGTCGTCCGCTCCGACCTCGTCGTGCGTCTCGTCGACCGGTGTCGTCGGCTTTCCGCGTCTGCGCTGCGCTCTGTCGTCACCGGCCGACCGATCTACAATCTCCGTCCGCGACGGTGGCTCTCCCGTGACGCGCTCGCCGGCCTCGCACATCAGCACCCGGACGGGATTTCTCGTTTTGACAGCGCCTCTGCCGCCTCTACATCTCAGTGCCACACTCGCCGTGTCGCGTCGCACGTCTCCCACGAAGGGAACTCTCTCTTCCAACAGACTTGTTTTACTGCCGCTCACTGCGTGAATCTCTGCCGTTCAGTTGTTGGTCGGCTATTTCCATACAATCACTTCTTTCCACGACACAAAACACGCCTCGAATTTTTGCGTACAATCTCCACGCTCTACAAGTTTCTAGAGTGTATATTTGGTCCCTCTGGAGAAATACAATGGAGATCAGGAACCACCTTTTCTCTCTTCCTATCCATTAACTCAAATTCAGTAAAACCAAAGGCCACTGATGTCCCTTAGTGTTATAATATTATTTGCCTGTCATTTCGTGTAAGATAACATTCTTCTCGACGCGCCCGAATAAGCGTATTGGAATTTAGCATGTGATATTTTACCTGTTTATTTCCGATCATACTAAATATATATGACTTTCGTCTCTGGTGGAGGAGGCGGACTACCACCACAGCCGGCAGTTCCAGCTCTGAATGTCCCCGTAGGCTCGAACGGGCCTCCTGTTGCAGTACAAGCGTCCTCCACACAACTGGCTGCACACCAGCAGTTGTCCGCCTTGGCTGGCAATCAACATTTTCTGGTGAGCGTTTTTCTCATAACATCATATCTCACGTTTCCGTGTTCCTTGAACTTGTTCGTATAAATTTTTAGCCCATTGTATCGTTAACGCAGAAATGACCACTAAATCATGGTGAAGTTGTGTTGTAAGCCTCTGTTATATTTATTAACATCACCTCTGTAAAGTTTTATTTTTTGTGGTCTGTTCTCCTTGCTAGGGATGGTTTGCCTGGAAGTGCTTTGAGCACTTTTTTATTTTCATCAACCATTTCCTTCGGACTCGTAGCTCTTCACATCCGAACTTTTTCCACACTGCTTTTCAGCAATGTTATTATTTATGGGTTATTATCCTTTTATAGCTGGTAATTCTGTACCACTGCAATCATTACTGCGATCTTGTTGCGCTCAAACGTAATCTCGTTGCACCGTTCTCACCGTCTTCATCTTCAGATGTTTTATAAAACATCGCAATCTTTGATGTCGCCTTCGTTCTCCATGCCGAGGCAAGGCATAAGAAGTGTTTACGTCACTGGTTTTAATAGTGGCGGCCAACCAACGCAGTCTGCTGATTTCATAGGCTTCTGTTTAACAATGAACAAGCGCAGAGACACTTTTTCACCGTTGTTGTACATAGTGCGTAGAATCATGTTTCTTGTTGGCAACCAGCCAGGTATACTGTTCTTATCTGCAACACGGTGTCATCATCCACTCCACCTGTTCTTCACCTGTCACTTATGAAAATTATATGTGTAACGTTAGAGGGATGCATACATGTACAGTGTTTGCCCACTGAAGTTCTCACCAAATTCGCGGTTGAAATAGCGCTCAATGCCAAGTTGTAGCAGTGGTTGTGCATCATGTGCTACCATTAGGTGTTAGTGATTTAGTTAGCTAAGAAGAAGCGCTAGAGACAGTTTATTGTATAACCAAATGACAAGGATGAATCGGTGGATAACGGCACAAAAAGAAAATGAGGATGAAAAGAAGTTGGGGCGAAAGAGAGACAGAAACTTCAGATTCTCTGACGATGAGAAACTGCACTTAATCGTTAGGAATCTAATCATTGCACAAGATGGTCACCACTTCTTAATTAGTGTATTATTTCTATGAACACAATTTTTGGTTTTAACGGTAAAGAACCGGCTTCTTTTTGCGTAAAGTAAGGTTAGCCGATTTCGTAAATGTGACAAAGGTTCGTTGTTGACCTCGAAACGAGATGAATAGTGAAAACTCATGATCACTGAGGTGTTAACATGATCGTCAATAGCAGCCTTACATCGTCTGATACATTTGTTTGGTTAGCCTTATCTGTGACACGTAATCTACTCTAGCTACTCGTCTTCTCTTCATTTCGTTGAAAAACGAAAAGAAGAGGAAGAAAAAAAGCACTCTTTCCATAACAAACTGCATACGGTCTGCTAAGATAGCTCTCGTGTCGTACAACTTCACACACTATTGTTCCTAGTCGTCGTAGTAAGCGTGCACATTCATCATTAGTTCAAGATCTTTCTCATTGGTCGCTGAGATTGAAAATTTCTGTGCCCTCACTTTTCACGTACTAGTTGTTTTTGAGTTTCGATAGTAGAAAATTAATTGATAAACCAAACTATCTTGAATGTACTATGATGGAAGGACAGAAGGAATATATGCTTAGCTAGACGAAAATACATTTCAAGTTTACTGTAAACACGCCACAGACATGACTCATACGTTTGGAAGCTATTTTCTCGTTAAATATGCCTAGCTAACTATAGCGAGTTATGAAATAAATATATGAAACTGAACTGTTTAAAATTCAGCGTCAACGTGGTGCGTATCTGGCACATAAATGGCAATCATTTGATGGTACTCAACCATTCGGTAATCTTCTGATGCTCAAGTGAGGGCGTGTGTAGCGCAATGGTCCGAGGCACCCTGCAATACACATTTGATTGATCCCTCGCCCCAGGTCCACCAACTCCTTCGTGCCTCTGCGTTCGACAAAATGGTGCCAGACTTGTCTGGGACGACGTTTCAGGTTTACCGTAAGCACGTCACATCGATCCCGGCGCACCAGGCTCACCAAGCCTTCCATCTTTCCAGGCCAAATTGGTACCAGACTTGTCTAGGAGGATAGCAGCACTGGCTCACCGGTATTCCACCGCGAGTCATTGTAAAGGCCAGATATGCATTCAGTCACTTCCAACGATGCTTAGTGAAGTCAAATGCATAGCACATCCCTTAGGGATTGATCAACATCGAAATCTTTATCCCTTATCCTTTATTCAGGTATTAGGTATGTTATTCAATCATCATAATACTGTCGGAGCGTTGTGTAATATTTGATTGTCCTGTCGTGCTTCTCGTGCATTCCATCTCTGCACATGATCATCATCTTCGATGACTGCTGATACAGATCGTCGTAGCGTTGTGATTTCGGCTGAGTGACTTGCGCCATCAGTGACACAGAGTGATAAGTATGATAGTTAACGTCAACATGTGTAGAAAACTTGTTAATGAGCGAAACCTACCTCGGCGTTATTTGTGGCCGCGCTGAACACCGCATATGTTCCGAGAATTTCTGCAGAGCGTTAAAAAGTCATGCGGAACGTCTTCGTCATTCTTTGATAGTGTTTCGAGCTTTCTTTCTCTCTCTTCCCCTCTTCTCTCCTTCTCTCTTCTTCATATGCTTGCGTCTCTGTTCCTCTCTCCGTCTATCTGTGTCCATCAATGTTTATGTGTCTGCCTGTCTGACCACTTCGTCTTAGATGGGCTACGAATACGATGTGTTGTTAGCTGGAAACTTCGGCATGCACTATTCGAACGAACGTATTTTTAGTCGTTCTCATGTGCAGCTATAAATATGTGTACGGAGAAAAAATAGTGACCGGTTAAAGCACAGGTTATGAAGAAACTTAACGAGATTGTGTAATTCTGAGGAGGCACGATTACAGCCTTTTGTCAGCTTGATTTTTCCCTCGACTATCTACTTTCTAATCGATAAATACCATTAACAGTACGAGTAAAGAGATGACAGAATACGTTAGCACATGTTGAGCAGTTCATAGAACATGTTTTTATAGTTCTAAATCTTTCTGTCATTGTGTTGTTATATGGTACGTCTATTGATTATTTGTTTATTTAATCTCCACTATTGGCACATGGGCTGATCGTGTTTAGCGAAACATGTGAGTTATTGCAAACTTCTAAAATTCCGGGATTTTCTAAAGTGTGCTACAGTGAGGAAACATACGTAAAGAAGGACGAATAAACTAGTCCTAATGACCAGGAAAAAGGTATGTGGAAAAGTTTCCACGTTCATAATACTGTAAGTAGTATTTCAGGACGCCTTACTTCAGCAACAACTCCAGCAACAACAGCAACAAGCCGCTGCGGCAAATAGCCAAACTGCATCGTCTCAGCTGGTGTGCGAGTACATCGTCTCATTCTTGCATCCATAGTTACCATTCGCTCATTAGTGAAACTGAGCATGTTCTCCGTTGAATGACAGTCTGCATTTTAATTGCTGGCTGTTTATTCTGAAGCTTCATGAATGCGCGACTACTGTAACTTATTCTAATGAATATCGGCTTTTGTTTTTATTTTATAGTATGACATTAAGGTGAGCCATTTGTTGGCGTCTGCATTGTTAAGCGGTTCGAATCCTTTGGTTGCTGTAAATCAAATGGCTAGTGGTGGATCGTCATCTACTGTAGAACCACAAGGATTACAATTGCTGTCACTTCTGCAAAATCAGCTGGCATTCAGCCAACTTTTGCCTCAGTTTCAGGTCTACATGCGTCCCCATCACTCGTACAGAACATGTGAATTCTTTCTGAACTCTTATCGTTCAGGGTGGACAGAATCTCAACGCTGTTAGTCCACTTTTAAATCCTGCACTTGTACTTTACTACCAACAACTGCTACAACAGCAGCAGCAACAACATTGCCTTTTACAACAACTCGTACAACAGCAATTGCCTCAAACCCAGCCGGTTCAAGTTCCTCAAGCTCATGCATTCCAGCCCCCTACACAAGGTAGTTATCCCATGATTTACAAGGTGTTTAAGGAAGTACGTATTAAACTTGAGACAGATGATGATTAATCAACTTGTAATACAAGTAGGGCTCGTCATTGCTATTCCTGTTCTTGGGTTACTCTTTGCTTAGTTATTAAAATAAATCAGCCTTTAGTAAAATAAAACCTTACAAACACTAAAAAACTGTAAGAAAGAACAAAACTACTGAGTGTAAAGTTGGCTCTCCCGCATACAATGTTGCCTAGGTTTACGGTAGTACGCGGATAATTTCAGGTTCATCTGGTAATGTAGAATCTCAGTTGAATGCACAAGAGCGACTGATGAATGCGTATCTAAATGAACAGCAACAGCAAACTGGAACGTTTAACATCTCTGTTAGAGATCAGGAGCAGATGTTAATGGTCAGTTCTATTACTTTTCCCCATAATTCTTCGTTTTTACTTTTTCATAGTCCGCTTTAACCTTATCTGTATTGCCACATCACGTTTCTTTCCGTTGATACACAGAAAACCTTAATTTTGAATTGTAGTAGAATTTAGTGGAGACTTGCACTTGCAATCGATACTGCGCTTTAGTTCTTTTTGAACAACGTTCGTTCTTTGCTTGGGATGAAAAGTTGCGCTCACGTCAGCAGACGAGACAATTTTTCTCCTTCCTCGCAATGTAGTAGATTCTTGGTTTTTCTATTACTTCAAACGCTTTTATTTCCTATAAAAGAGGCATATCTGTTTGGTTAACCGGATTCTTAAAGCCCTTTACTGTCACTACTGTCACTGAGTGAAATACTGTGCAAATTATTCACATCCTAGTTTTGCGAGCCTTAGAAGCCTGTTGTAGGAAAACCTTTTTTAGAATCATCAGGTGACGAGCGGAAATCCTACGCAACAGTCGCAACAGCATCAACAACACTTTCAAGACCGTACGATATCCGGAACATCCAGAAATGTAGTTGGTAGTGGTGGTGTAGATGTGGAGTCAGTGGAAGAGAAAATCTCGCGGCTCATCAGTGAGAACGAGGCAATCGTACAACCGCATCAGGTGGCGATTATATGTGTGTCCGTATCCACGATGCTTCCTGCAGTGTCAGAAAAATCTAAACTGTAATATCACTATACCTCACCACTAGCTCATAACTTGTGTGTAGTAGGAGGTTCTAGAACATGATGGGTTTCTTTAAACACTTACAGCTCGTTGCCCAATTTTCGGCGACGCACGCATATTTTTCAATAGTTGAACCACGTGCAGACTTTAGAGTTTCAACTACATGGAAAAAGGCTTTTTTCTATCGCACTTGCGGTATAAATATTTCCCCTAAAGGGCCATATAAATCTTGAACTTGTATAGAACTCAGGTTTCTGGAAAAATTAGAAAGAGGTTTTTAAAATTTTCGATCTGTTTTAAATGTCTGCAAGGGTGTTAGCCGAAAACATCCATGATCCATTTGTTGACCTTATTTGCACTACTAGACGAAATCCCATCTTTTCAGTCGCTTTACTGCTTCAGGTACGAGCCACGACAAAAAAAAGAAATCGGGTAAAACATGTTTTGATGTTTTCAGGAAATCAGTATTTTATCGTTGTATAATAGGAAAGTTTGCTTATTACTGGCAAAAGTCTGTGGCTTCTTCTGATTTTTAATCTGTTCAGTAGAAATAACAATATCTTAGCTTTTATTTATTGACTATTCGTTTTTCATGGTAGAGTATTATACGAAATACTACCACAATGATGCTGAAATGTGAGCGTAGCTCGGAACCTCAACTAGGCTTTGAGCCTGCGATTACCCTGACCGTGGATTCACCATCCAGCATACCAACTGGAGCGCTTGATTTGCCCTTCTCTTCCTTATCAGTAGAATTCGTTGTGATATTAGACATATTTGTTGAAGTCTGAAAGGGTCAAATATTCTCAAGCATTAGTGGAAAATCATTTCGTTAAGGCTAGTCCGACCCCACCACGTACAACCTGAAATCAACTCACGTCGAGCTGTATGTGTTCAGCGATTATCGAAATACGACGAAATGTCCTATAATCAATAAATTCCACCGTAATGCACTTTTGTGGATGTGCTCTGCGGTGTTGTTCATTATTTTTCACTGATGATTTTCTGAACACAACTTTTTTTACAGGAAAGAACTGTAACGAACTGGTAACGAAAAAAGTAAAATAGCATCGTTTTTAAAAGTTCTGGTTGTCCCCTTATTTTGGTAACTTTAACACTCGATAATTTTCATGTCACCAAAATTTCCAAGTGTCAAAGTACCTCCATAATTGTTCATTTCTTTGTCTTTTAACTGGTCACTAACAGAGAATTAATCATCCTAACTTGATTCCCGTTGTTCGCTCTCTGGTGGAAAAAGTATATTTGAACTTCAAAAGAAAAATTATAATTCGATCATTAACGTGAATGATAGAAATAGCAAGTCTAGAAAATCATACTCTTGCGTTATTATTCTCATAATCGCCAATGTTTTTGACATTTAAGACACTTCTGAAAAGAAGACCATATCATCGACAAGCTGGTGCCCAGTCCTCGATTGACCATGATAGCAACGGTGGTGGTGAGTATGGTGAGTGAAAACAGCATCGAATCAATTTCGAAAAATCTGCTCATCGTCCATAAATAACACACAGTTCGCTTTGGTATGTAATGTCGATATGTCGATGAGAATATTTAAATGTTCTTTGAAGTGCTAAACTCAGCGAGAAGCTTATTTTTGAACATAGTTTATTGTAGATTCAGAAGTGGGAATCAAATTAATCTTTTCGTGTTACAAACCAGTTCCTGTGTACTTTGCACAGCAGTGTGAAGTCATTTCAGTAAAGGTCTTATATATTTCATTCATAGATGCAGGGAACTTTTAGTTCGATAGTAAACTCTAAAATGAAGAGGATCTGCAATAGTGTGGCTTGTAGATATTTTTTATTAGTTTCTTGAATTATTGCTGTGATTGCTGGGAGCTCATACAGGCTTCATAAGATCAATTTCTAGAAAGAACAGATGAATGCACGTTGTTTTTTTTTCCATAATGAAAGTATAGACCATGGATCTCTCTCATGGAGGAATCTCATGTGGGTTAGTCGCGAAGCATCGTGGCGCTTCTTCAGGTGACGGATAAAGGCTTAATCGGTGACCAAAAGCGACATTATGCTCCCTTGAGACGAAAATGGATACAAGAGATGGACCCTTTGTTTCTGCTGCGCCGATGTGGTACATACCTTCTATATTTGCGAAGACGTAGTCATGCACGCGTGCGTAGATGTGTTCTCGTTTATGCGGATTTCATTCTACGAGTCAATATGACCAAAAGCCCACAATCAAATAACAGCAGAGAATATGGGAGGCAGTAAAGGTCACTTTCAACAACTAAGCTCCCCGTCTACTCTGTGTGAGAGGGACAAGCTACCAGCGCCTATGCCCAATCGAACGTCCAGAGCTCAGCCTGCTCTACGTGGATAAAAAATGCTAAATATAGTATTGGAAACCAAGAACGGAGAATGTGCTAAAATCCCAGGTCCAATCTAGGTTGCCTAAATCGCAGTGTTCTTTGTTGACGATCTGTATCTACAATACATGCACACTTGTATCTGAGTCTTCGGTAGAAGAATTGATTATGCACGCAAGGAGGATAAGGTACGATGTCGTCAGCTTGTGTGAGACGAGACAACAGCGCTCATTCAACGCCGTCTGTGGCACCGGGGAAGAACTGTTCCTCGGATCTTGGAAAAGTAGAGGAGTCGGTGGCGTCTGCGTTCTCGATAGCATGAGTTTGGTCAGTAACATCGACTCATTCGAGCGACTAACAACCTGAATCGGACGTCTACAAATAAAGAGATGTAGATCAGTACCGGCTTTGACAATCTTCGTCATCTACTCACCGACATCAAGTATGACGAGTACGTAGTCGAAGCGTTCTTTATGTTCTTGGAGAGGTTCCATAGAGAAGACCGTACAATCTTTAAGGTCGTCATTGGAGATTTTACCGCTTAGATTGTGCACAGAAGAAAGTTTGAAGAACGTCACATAGGGATTCACAGATTAGAATGGAAAAAACCAGAGTGAGCGGCTGTCTGAGTCTATCAAGATGGTCATGGACATCTAAGGTATTTCGCAATTCCAGAAGACCCAGTCTAAACTTTAGACGTGGACCGATGGAGACTACTGTAACGAAATGGACCACATCAGAGGAAATAGAAGAATTTGCGTAACCTGTTGTCGCGGTTGGCCCAAAATTCTGCACGGAATATGACCATAGCATTCTTCATGCAAGGAGGTTTCATTTCTTGCGGGAAGGAGAAAAGCCGCTAAATTCAAAAAACATAATCCCAAAACCATGATTAACTCGAATTTATTCAGTTCATTAATCGGCTATTGGGAATATGCCGTTCTTGATAACATCGGCGATAAATACGATCGGCTCATTCAACGTCTTTACGTTAGCGCTAGGCAAACTAAGAGTTCGAAAGTCACCTAGAGGCGTCTGTTTCTAGAAACAATCGAGCTGGTACACCAGCGTGGAATCTCTCGAGCTACAGGCAACAGCGTACTCACGCTCGAACTTAGAAAACAATGCATGCACGCGATCTTGAAGAAAGATCTTGAAGATCTTGAAGAAAGAAGAGCAGTAGTTATGGCCGGAACTGCAGAACCTGGGGAAACATTCGCAAATCATGTCCTCGTATGAAATAAAGGAGGAATATGCCGTACCACCCGTTGCCCCTTCCGAAATCTGATATGCTATTTTGTCGGTGATGAGTCGAAGAACACCAGTTTCGGAGAGGATAAGATTTTAACACCTGAAGAACCTTCTGCCAGTCCTCACAGGCACACTGACACGGCTCTTGACACGTTATCTGTTACAATTCAATGTTTCTACTAGGTGGAAGGACAGTAAGACCGTGTTAATGTTCGAACTCGACTATGTCGGCAACTATTGTCTAATCTGCTTATTGTCTGTCGTATACGAACTTTTTACTTAATTCGTTCTAAACAGGATTAACAGAACACTGCTCGAAAGAGAGGCATGTGAGCTGCCATTGTTTTGAAAAGGATTCAGTATGATGGATATAATCCACAAAATAACAAGATTCATTGAGGTCTAGCGAGGGAAAATGGAACTTTCTATCTCGCTTTCATTCACTCACTTTCATAGATTTAATGAAAGCTTCTGACTCAGTCGAGAAAGTAGCGGTCATAAAAGTCCTGAACAGCCAGGGTGTCCCTACTCGGTATGTAAAGATTATTCGTGAGCTGCATAAAAATTTTGTAGTCAAGATATCACCATTCTGCAACGAAATTATCATCGACGTTTAAAGAGAGGTTAGACAAGGCTATGACGGCAATTATACCATCATCGCTTTGCTGTTAACATCGTTCTTATAACACCAAACATTAACCAAGCGGAACGTATGTTTGCTGACTTTGATAAAGGCTGTGGAAAAATTGTTCTTCGACTGAATCTCATGAAAACAATCTTCATGAGGAACGGATGGGTTTCTTATTCACCATTAACGCTGAAGGAATGAATATCTCCAAATTCCCTAACTACTTCTATCTGGGTCGGGAAGTTAACGTGCTGAACGACATAGCTTCACAGTTGACCAGGTTGAAGAGAATGGCTTGGAGAACTTTCAAGAGTATCGAGTATGTAGCGAGGAAGACATTGAACAACGACTCCCTACCGGCTCCACGATTTCTCATGCCTTAGACGATGTTAGGAATATCCCGTTACACAAGTGAGGGAAGGGATCCGAGGCTCTAACTTACGTCAACGTTCAAGAATTAGAGTGTACGTTTTATGCGCCAAACTCTCGAAAATGAAGTGTCGCGGGCAAATAGTGTGTTTGAACGACCACCAATATAAAAGAACCGTTGGTGACTGAATTCCCTCAGGATGTTAAACGTGCTGGAGGAAGACCACCTACCCGTTGTTCGGAGTTTTTCACGGAAAAAAATGGAGGATTTACTGGTGCCCTCTCGAGTTAGTCGACGATCAACGAGATCAAGGGTGATAAAGGTAATATAAAAGTAAAGCAATATGTTCATATATATTGAAGGGCTAGATGTTTATTACAAGCGTGTTAGAAACATTGTTCAACTGAACTAGGTGGCCTTTCAGGTTCCACGCGAGCATCACCAGGGATTCGAGATCATCGAATGCTGCAGTCAAGTAGTCGGAATCAACCTCACTATGAACCACTTTTAGTAAGTAATATAACTTGTTGAAAGTTACTAGAAGGCAAAGGGTATTTCTGTGAGTCAGTTCCGTTTTTTTAGCCTCAGTTTACTTCGGTTTATTATAATTTAACCTTTCCAGAATGCAAAGCTTGCCTTCGGTGGTAGTCTGACGTCAGGTTTGCCAATAAATAGACATATCAAACAAGAATCGTTGCCGACGTGTTCATTTTGCCTTTTAACGTAAGCGCTTCTTTGCAACCTGCTTTGAAAGTTAAATTTGCAAAGGCTTTAGCATTGTTTCAGTTTCCCGAATGAAGCTGGTCTACAGGTACATGAAATACGGTGTAGTAAAAAAGTCGAGGCATCTAATGCGGAGACAGACAAGGTAGACATTAATTAGTTTATAAGCAGTCAATTGCGTAGCAGCAATATAGTTTAAGAAAAACCGGTCAGTATACTAGTTAAGGAATGAATATATGTTCATGAAAAGATCGAACAAAAATTTAGCTGAAAGCGGAAACTGTAGCATCATCTCTACAATTCGTAACCAGAACTCAAGATACCGACACACATAGTAGGCACCCATTGAAAAGGAGACTTTTAGCTGCTGTAGCCGCAGAGCAACAAAGCCCTACAAAGATAACTAGACCAGTAAGTTTCTGTTTATCAGTCTTGGTTGTTGATATCTTTAAAATTTTTTGTACATGCGATTGTCTTAATTTTAGGAGTCAAGAGATATAGTTCTCATAGAAGAACGAAGACCACCGGTAATTGATAGGAAAGATTCCGTAATCGAATTAGATTTTGACCATCCGAGTATTACTCGAAGGTAAGCCATGCAATAGTGTGATATCGTGATTCGATAAGAAATAGCGACATCTCTATTTCAGGGCTACGATACCATCGACATCTTTAAGTCACCAACGTGGTATAGGCGTAGCTGCCCCCATAGCTGTTTCGGCTGCCCTGACAACTGTGCAGCCACCCATGATACACGTTCAGGCTCCGCTATGCGCTCTTCAGACGGCTGGAAGAACCTCGGCGTTCGTCTCTCCTACCGGTTCCGCGTTCATACCACAGCCACCGCCAAGCAACCAAATTCCGAAAAAAGAGGTAATGTTCAGCATCACTCTTCCTTACCCTGTTATTAATTATTCGTAGATAGACGGATATGATTTGCGTTTATGTTGTGATAATGAACACTTCGACTACAACTATTAGGTTGATCAGAAATAAATGAGTGTTCTAAAATATTTATTGTTTATTGTACTTTTTGCCAATGAAATATTCTTTGTACCCAGCAACATTATGTATCATTAGAAAACTGACTTTATGCTGTTTCTAACTATGCCTTTATAACCACAACGTTGCTGAGATATTTGCAAAACTCTGGACCGCAGGTGTCTATGGTGGGGAACGAACGCGCTATTGTCCTTTCCGGGAAGTAACGCGTTCACCACCTTACCATGCGGGTCCCTTGTTTCCCCTGTCTCTCAGCTAGTTCTATTGATCTTTTGCCATCAGCAATCACCCGTCAGCGGGATTGATCTGGGGCGCCTAAATCGGCATGGAACCCAGTTAAGCTATGGCTGTAGTTGAAATCACAATGTTATACCTGCTGACGGGTGATTGCTGTGGCAAAGATCGATAGAGATAGCTGAGAGACAGGCGAAACAAAGGACCCGCATGGTGTGGTGGTGAACGGGTTACTCCCCGGAAAGGACAATAGCGCGTTCGTTCCCCACCATAGACACCTGCGGTTCAGGGTTTTGCAAATATCTCAGTAACGTTGCGGTTGTATTTCGCTTAGTACCCTGCCGCGAAATTATAGTAGGCAGAAAATAAAAAGGTATGCCTTTATATTTTGCCAAAAGTTATTTTTTTCCTACCAATTTTGGGGTTTACAATTTTAGATGTCAAATACGAATCTTCGTCAAATTTTCTTTAACAGTTCAACGATCGTTGTGCAGCAGATACGGTTGGAAACATTAATGAAGCTTGGAGTGAAGGTAGTATTGATGAATAAACAGTGCGAACGTGGTTCCGGAAATTCCGATCTGGTGATTTCGACCTCGAGAATAGGGAAAACCGCGGATGTCCTAGTGAACTTAACGACGACGAATTGAACGCACTAGCGGAAGCAAACACAAAAACAACTGTGCGAGAGCTTGCAGAGCAGCTTGACATAAGTACAGGAGCAATTTCCACTTACTAGAATCGCATAGAAAAGGCAAAAAAAAAACTCGACAAATGGGTACCGCACGAATTAAACGATGTTAAAAAAAATCGCAGTTTCGAAGGATCGCCTGATGTTATTCTGCGCAGCAAAAACGACCCTTGTCTTGATCGAATTGTGACGTACGGCGAGAAGTGGGTTCTGTACGACAACCGGCGGCGTTCAGCCCATTCGTTGGATTGCGACCAGGTTCTACAGCACTTCCCAAAGTCGAAATTGCATCGATTTCCAACAAATCGACAAAATGTGCCGTGAACTCCGATAACAACAGCCGATATTAGTCAACAGGAATGGACCAATCCTTCTCCACGACAACGACCAGCGCTACAAATGTTGAACGAGCTGGACTACGAAAGTTTGCCTCATCCACCATATTCACCAGACCTCTCGCCTACTGAATATCACATTTTCAAGCACCTTGACAAGTTCCAGCGCGAGAAATGCTTCACCAACCACGATAATGCAAAAGATGCTTTCAACGAATTCATCGCTTCCAAAAGTCTAGAGTTCTATGCAGCTGGAATGAATAAGATTGTTTCCGATTGGCAAAAATGTGTAGATTCAAACTCTTTTTGATTAGTAATGTTTTGTTTGAAGCGAATTATAACATTTTAAGTAACAAGTTAAAAACGCTCATTTATTTCTGAACAACCTAATGGATTAATTCTGCCGACTATTTTTATTCTAATCGTACTTTTGTTTATGTTGTTGCTTTCATGTTTCCATTTCTTAGAATATCGAATGAAGTTACCAGATTTTCTGAGATTCATTTTTTCTACGTTTATATAGATATTATTCTTAAGATTTTAGTTCGAAGCACCAATTTTTCAAGGAATGCGTTGCGCGTTGTTTTTTTTTTATCATTCTATCTTCAGGAGAATCCGTTCTCCCTTGAAGATCATGTACTGGATGGTAATACGGAGAAGCCGTATACGTTGGTGTTGACGCAGGCTAGTAAAGTTCAGGCTACAACCGACGTAGCTACCATGCGTCGGTGAGGTACCATTTATTGATAGCTGACATTATAAACATCGAGGTGTCAAGGAAATAGTTGTAGTAATCTGTAGACTCAATATAGCATCGATGACGTTTTTTCAGGTCTCGAGGAAGAAATATCACCAGTGAGACGTTTGTTTGCATGCACCGTGCTCAGCCAATGTTTGTCGAACAGAAAGGAAATTTGTCAATGTATAGCAATTGGCATCAAGTGTGTTAAAAACCTCTTTAGATCATCATTGTTAGGTGTTCTTTGTTGGTGCCATATATGTGTATATGAAAATCGATACGGTTTCTTGTTCAAGGTAAACATCAATGAGACGGAATCTAAATTGAATCTTCTTTATATGGGTATGTGCTCGACAAAGCCACGAACAGGTGTGAAACCTTTTTGGCGATACAGCGTTGCTAATCGCGATCACGGCCAGTATAAAATGACTCATTCGTCATTCTGGGAATATCGAAATAAGGTTAAGGCTTTTTTCCACATTATAGTCACCTGAATTTGCAAAGCCTTTACCATTCTCTAGGTGAGACGTCACGGAGAACATATGCAGAACTCAAAAGATGATGTGGATGATCTGCAACCATTTCTCGACGCTCTTGGAAACAATAATAAGCCAAGTGTAGACCAGGTAGGCAGGAAACACATTTTGCTACACTTCTGACGGTGTGGGCCGTATATGGTTCAGTAGAGTACATCATGTACGACAACATTCTTAATGTAGTTTGCACTTTTCTGCTGTTTTTTACCACATTTTTCCTGCGTCACATTTTGCACTGAATCAACAGGTTTTGTTTCACTAATGTTGTTAAGGTCATGGTCAAACACTTTCATAAACTTCAAAATTTGCACTTTCGTTTTTGCTACTGAAACAATCTGATCGAAGTGTTTTTTATTCGATTTATTGCATTTCATTTTCATTCTGCAAACGTATTTGCAGCACTTTTGGAGTATTTCGCTAAATTCTTATAGCGGCCATAGTGTTTCCATACGTTTACTACCGGATCAGTCTTTTCCAGCATAACATTTTGGAGGATACGGAAAATGATTTCCGATTTTTCTAGGATTTTGCGCATTTTTCCAGCACAAAATTTCAGCAGTTTTGTTTTCTGTGTGCTTACGAAAACCAGGGACGTGCGTGATCAGCTTTGTGTTAAGGGTTCTCTTGCAAAACAATTAGTATTTTAGTGTTGATTTATGGTGTTAGAAGAAGTTTGGGAAGGGTAAATGAAATTGTTTGAGGAGAAAACGTTATTTATAAGAACAGAGACATGTATTCGAACAATTTCGAGAATCTTTGCCTAATGTTTCAATCGCAGACTATCCAAAGTATGGATAGAACTGTATGGATAGAGAAGAGAGTGCGTGGTAGGAATTTCGTATAGTGTAAAATTATGATTTCACTCAGTGATGAACTGAAGTATAAAACGTTAGAGGTTAGGTTCGAACGTCATTAAAAACTGCCCTCCTCCAGATCTATAAAAATCGAAATAACGCGTAAAACATCTTTAAAACAAAGTGGCTTTGATCTTTTTTTGGTTTTTTCCTGTCTTTGATCTCAGAGACCAAATTCGACATCGGGTGGAGATGTTCAATAAACATGGAAAACGACATAAGGGAGGAAATGTCTGGAAGGAAGACAGCTAAGCGCTCTGCTATCGTGCATTTCAAAGGAGCGAACGATGAACTGACAGATGAGAAGCTGGCTAAACACTTACCTCTTGACTCAACACTTTCCTATGAGGCTGAGACATAGGTTGATCACGTCGAGAATTTTAGGTTACCATAAGATGGCGATTGGATAATTTTTCTTCGTGATCTATCACCGACACACACACAGATAACATGTAATATTGTATAGATAGATGATATCTGCTTGTGTTCTAACACCCACTTTTAATTGAAGATTGTTGTTGAAGTCTGTTTCTACTGTATTGTTTTATGAGCAATCATTTTTTAGGCTTATGACGTCAGCTCATCAGTTACTGTTGGAACTGCAGACTTTATGGGACCAGAATCAATGAAAGAAGAGTAAGCTTCTTATTTCTCGAATTTCCGCGAGTTTACATGATGCCTATGGCGTTAGGTTGAATGTTTTTAGAGGGGACAACCAATCAACGTCAAAGTGCAAACCACCGGAGGATACTATAAAAACATCTAAATCGACAAAAAGGCGGGATCCCGTGATCGGTGGATATCGCACGGATGAGGTAAATCCTATGCTTATCAGTGTTCTTATGATTAAATCTTATCGAAAAACTCTTAATACATATAAACACTAATGTAATCGTTTTTACTCGAAACGAAGGGAAATATCAACCTGTTGAGAGACGTCCCATTAGTAAAAATTTACGATCAATTTAGGTGTATGTGTACGTTCGAGGAAGAGGTCGTGGACGTTATGTGTGTGAGCGATGCGGAATTCGGTGCAAAAAACCGAGTATGCTTAATAAACACATAAAGTTAGTCATGTTATACGTACTGTTGAAATGAAAATGTTATTATGAGAAAGGTCTTTGGAGGGAGGAAATAAGTAGGACTTGTGGCGATAGTTTCTGAATTTCTGGATATTAACGACCATCGGCACTGATTTCCGTCGTAGAGGGATCCCATGCGGATTTGTCGGTTTACCAAGAGCGACTTTGTGCTTCCCTGAGAGACAGGTGAGTCCAGAAGATGGACTCTCTGTTCCTGGTGCGCCAATTTGGCAGACACCTTCTATGTTTACGAAGACGTATTCACGCATGAGTGCGTGTAGTGTGTTGTCGTTTATGCGGGTTGTACTGTGTGAGATAATTGGAGCAAAAATCTGCAATCAATTGAGTGGGACGTATATACGGGGAGTGGGGATTATGAGTTTCGTACAAAAAATAAGCCCTTCGTCTACTCTAGAAGAGACTGACAAGCTGCACGTGAGTATACCCAGCCTCCATGCTCAGAGCTCAACAAGCCATACATGGATATGAAACGCTAAACACGGCAAAATAAATGTTCCCCATTTCACTGACCCCGAAGGAGTCCTGTTACGGCAGCATTGGGCAGGACGAATACGAAGGGGCTGGTAGATCTCAGGGCTACTTTAGACTGCCCAAATTTCGAAAGGCTAAGGTAACGGTATTTACGGTATAATGCATATTTACTCGCTTTCAACTCGTCGATAGAGGGAGAACCTGATCATAAGGGCGAGAAGGATAAAGTACGACGCCATTGGACTGGCTGAGGCGAGAAAGCGCCACCCATTCAACGCTGTCCCTGATGACGGAAAAAAAACTGTTCGTCGAAAAATACGGTAGTTGAGGATTTGGCGTTCTATTCAACATGGGTTTGGCCATCATTGTCGATTCATTAGAACAACTAACGACCCGAACTGGACGCCTGCGATTGAAGAAGTTTTGATCAATACCTGCTTTACCAATCTTCACCGTTTACGCACCGACATCAAGATATGAGGAAGACGAAGTCGAAGCGTTCTATATGGACTCGGAGAAATTCTACAGAGAAGACCTTACAATCTTCAAGGTCATCATTAGATATTTTAACGCAAAGATTAGACCTTGAGGACGTCTGAAGAAAGGCACGTTGGAAACCACGGATTAGATTGGAAAGAGACAGAGTGCGCGGCTATCTTAGTTTATAATAACGGCCAAGAGCTTCAAGGTAACTGGCAATGCCAGAAACCCCACTCTCGACGATGGACGTGGGGTCGTCCAATTTAGAGGGCCATAAAGAAATAGGCCACATCATGGTAAAAAGGGGAATTTGCACTATCGATTTCGCTGTTTCCTCAGGATTCTACACGGGATCGGAGCATCGACTCTTTCGTGCAAGATTTCGTTTTTCGGGAAAAGGACAAAAATGCACGAAATTCAATGAACGGAGTCCAAAAACCACCTTAAACTAGGATTTATTCAATTCGTTAGTTGGCTGTTGGGAAAATGTTGTTCTTGATAATATCGAAGGGGAATAAGATCGGCTCATTCTATTTACATCTTCACGTTAGCGCTATAAAAGTTGAGAGTTCGAAAGTCACGTAGAGGCGTCTGTCTTCAGAAACAATCGAGATGATACGCTACTGTGGAATCGTACCAGCTACATGCAACGCGAACTAACTTCCGAACTTGCAAAACAATGCAGACAGGCGATAAAAGAAAATCTTAAAGACAGAAGAGCAGCAGTTGTAGTCGAAGCTGCAGAGGCTGGGAAAAGCATTCGCAAAGCCCACCGAACCTTCGCCAATTACAAAACCAAGATAATTGCACTCCGATGCCCAGACGGAACAGCTACAGTGTGCAGAAAGCCAATGAAGAAAATCATTCACGAATATTACTCAGACCTCTTCGATAGCCACGTTCACCTTCCATAATATGAAATAAAGGAGGATGGATATGTTGTACCACTGATTCTCCCTTCCGAAATCCGACATGCCATTTCGTCGGTGAAAAATCGAACAGCATCAGGTCCGGACAGGATATGACCAGAACACCTGAAGAACCTTCCGCCAGTCCTCGTAAGCACACTAGCTTGGATGTTCTCAGTTTACTTGTGTTGGTTAGTCAACAGATTTCAGTACTGGCCCTTTCATATTTGCCACGCGGGAGCTGAATCCGTTCATACATAAATAGCCTCAAATTTTTGTAATTAAACCGTTTATCATTACTATATGCAGTACGAATGCGCTGTGCGTACAATACACTGTGATTAGTGCACAAGTGTTCCATGAGGGATAATTCATGTGCAATGAGTGAAACGAATGATATGCGAAGACTACACGGCAGCGAAGTGAGCGGTTAGTAGATTAAACCCTAACAAAGCTCAAGAAGAGTAATCTAATATAGTTGATGTTGTAATGATGTGCGGTGACAAACTGATGACTAAGTATAATCGTTCTGTTGAACAATATGAGAATAAGAGGCTAATACCGAAGTTGTGCTGAGCAGAAGAATTGCCGCAGGTGTGAATAGCGACGCAATGGATATATAAGCGTTAGGTGCGAGGTGTAATATGGGTAACAATTCAGCTAACGGAGTGATGAGCTGACTTAGTGACCTGTAGAAGTTGTAAAGATTTTAAAAGGGTTAAGAAGGATTGAAAAAAGCTTAAGAAGGAGTGAAATGATGTAACTGATGTTCGATTACGTTGTGGTGTTTACATGTTGATGATGTGGTATTCAGCTATGAAACGCATGGTTATGATAACCCAAGATTGGTGAGACTCGAAAAAGAAGATTTACAATGACATCTAGCAATAAAAATAAAGTTGCTACGACAGAAGGATGATAAGGCCATAGGGCGCGTTTGGTTGTTGAGAGCTCTTGAGTGTCGAGTAGGGACTCTGGGCGGTTGTAGGAGCTGGACATCTAGAGGATTTTCTTGCATACTGAGTCAGCATTAGAGTCTCCAGCAGGTCGTGATGCGATGTGAACATCTGCGCCAGCTGGACATGACTCCTGCGATTATTGGTTTGGAATTTACCAGTGAAAACATTGATGCCTGAGATGACAAATAATAACCCTCCAGAGGATAGCTTTTATATTGCCTGTCAGAATGCAGCGTTCCTATTTAATGGAAAACTGGCAGGACCGTTTTATTGTCCGAAAAGGGTGACCTCTACGATATCGGCAGTTGTCACCCAATCTGCTTGCTCGCTGTGAACTCTTCACTTGAGTCATTCTAAACAGAGTTGACAGCACACTGGACGGAGAATCATTTGAGGAAGCAGGTCTTCGAAAAGGATTGGGTACGAGACCGCGTGAAGGCGATAACAACATTCAGTAGCGTATCGCGAAATTACAAGGGACCGCTCAATCTTAGTTTCATCGATTTAAAGGAAGCTTACGGCTCAGCTGAGACAAGCGGCAGACAGCAGGCGTCTCCCAACTCAGTATATAAGGATCCTTTGTGAGCTATATGAAAATTTCACGACCAAAGTGTCACTGTTCTACAGCACTGGTAAGTTCAACGTAAAAGAAGAGTTAGCACCGGGGTTCTCACCAAAATTATTCACCCCTACTCTCCACAGTGGGTCCTGCGGACATTAGTATGGAACAACATAAGGTGAAATTCGAGTAGGTGCAATTATACCATCTCAACCTTGCTGATCACTTCCGTGACTTGGCCAGGTAGAACGAACGCTATTCGACCTCGATATCACCTGTCACCTGCCACCTGTAGTCCCAATGATCGTCGAGTGACTCGAGCGGGCGCCAGTGAATCTTCCATTTTTCCCTGTCGCGTGCAAGAGTAGCCCAGTGGGTTCTACTCGCTCTAGGAACTCGTCGAGCATCATATCTTTCTTCAAGGCACTTTGTGAAGAACTCTGACCATCGGGTCGCTGGTCTTCCTGGAGTATGTTTGACATCCCGAGGAATCCAGTCACTAATGGCTCTTGTCCATTGGTTATCTTTCGTACGCATTACGTGTCGGGCCCACCTTATCTTCGACTGGCGTGCAAAACGGCATCTTTGATCTTTGATCGTTGACGCAGGTCGGAGCTTCGGATCCCATCCCTTACTTGTGTGCAACGGGATACTCCTAGCATCGTCCTTTCGACTGCGCGTTCGATAACGCTGAGTGACCTTTCATCCTGCCAACGCAGCGGCCAGGTTTCTGACGCACACATTAGGGCAGGAAGTACCGTTGAGTCGAAAAGTTGGGCACGGAATCGGGTGTCTTTGTTTTCTTCACTACATCCTCGATGTTCTTGAAAGCTCCCCAAGTTGCCCGTTTTGTTCTGCTCAGCTCTGGAGCTAGGTCGTCCATCATATTGATTTCCCGACCTAGATAGATATAACTGGAGCATTCGGAGGTATTCGCTCTGTTCATCGTGAATGGGGCGTGCGATGAGAAACCAATCCGTCCTTCATTAACATCGTTTTTGTGAGATTTAGTGGAAGACCAGTCCTTCCACAGGCTTTATCAAGTCGTCAAGCATACGTTCCGCTTGGCTATTGTTTGCTGTTATAAGAACGATGTCATCAGCAAAGCGAAGATGGTGTAACTGCCGACCGTCGATTTTCACACCCATATTATCCCATTCCAATGTTCGCATAACGTTCTGGAGGGTGGTGGTAAATAATTTTGACGAGATGGTATCGCCTTGCCTAACTCCTCTTTTGACATCAATGTTAATATCGTTGCAGAATGGTGAAATCTTGGTTGTGAAATTTTTGTACAGCTCACGAAGAATCTTTATGTACTGAGTAGGAACTCCTCGACTATCAAGGGCTTCCAAAACTGCTTCTATCTCAACTGAATCAAAGGCCTTCTGTAAATCGATGAGAGTGAGACAGAGCGGTCTTTTGTACTCTCGCGATGCTTCAATGGGCCATGTTACCATGTGGATGTGGTCTATCGTACTAAATCATTTTCGGAACCCTGCTTGCTCACATGGCTGTCCTTCGTTTAGTGTTCTGTCAATCCTGTTTAGGATGATTCGAGTGATAAGTTTGTAGACGACAGACAGTAAGCAGATTGGGCGATAGGTGCCGATATCGGGCAGGTCACACTTGTTGAACAATAGCACGGTCTTGCTGGTCTTTCATTGAGTATGGACCTTGCATTCAGACAGGTAACGTGTAAAGAGCCAAACCAGTGTGTTTACGAGGACTGGCGGAAGGTTCTTCCAGTATTCTGGTCTTATCCTGTCCGGACTTGGTGCTGTTCAATTTTTCAGCGACGAAATTGCATGTCGGGTTTCGGAAGGGAGAGCCGGTGAGGTGGCGCAACATATCCATCCTCCTCTATTTCATATGACGGAAGGTAAACGTGGCCATCGAAGAGATCCGAGTTCTATTCGTGAATGATTTTCTCCATTGTCTTTCTGGACGCTGTAACTGTTCTGGCTGGGCGCCGGAAAGCAATCATTTTGCTCCTGTAATTGTGAAAGCTTCGGTGGGCTTTGCGGATGCTTTTCTCAGCCTATGCGGCTTCCCGCATCACTGCTGCTATTCGCTCTTTAAGATCTTCTTTTATCCCGTTTCTGCATTATTTTGCAAGTTAGTTCGCGGGTGGTGCCTTCAGCTCATGCGATTCCACGCTGGAGTATCAGCTCGAGTGTTTCTGGAGACAGATGTCTCTTGGTGACTTTCGAATTCTGAGCTTTCATAGCGGTAGCGTGAAGATGTTGAATGAGCCGATCGTATTCTTCGTCGATGCTATCGACAACGGCATCTTCCCATAGAGTCTTGCACGAAGGAGACGATGCCCTGGTCCCGTGTAGAATTTTGGGACAACAGCGACATCGGTTAGGCAAAACCTTCCATTTACTATGATGTGGTCTATTTCGTTATGCTACTCTTCATTGGGGGTCTCCCACGTCCAGCGTTGAGGGTGTGGCTTCTGGAATTGCGAGTTACCATGGATTGTCTTGGTCGCCATGATAAACTCAAACAGCCGCTCACCCTGTTCGTTCCATTCTATTCCGTGGGTCCCGATGTGGCGTTCTTCAGATGTTCTTCTTTTTCCAATCTTGGCGTTGAAATCTCCAATGATGACCTCGAAGAATGTCTGGTCTTCTATGTAGAACTTCTGCAAGTCCATATAGAACACTTCGACTTCTTCATCGTAGTTTGATGTCGGCGCGTAAACGACGAAGTTTGTCATAGCAGGTGTTGATCCACATCTTTTAATCGTAAACGTCCAATTCGGGTTGTAAGTTTTTCGGTTACTCCTGTACTGTCGCATGTTTCGAGGAACTTCTTCTCCGGTGTCATAGACGGCGTTGAATGGGTAGAGTCGTCTCGTCTTGGCCAGGCCGATGACGTATCTTGTCCTTATTGCTTGTATGAGCAAGTTTTCTATCGAGGACTTGGACACAAGTGGACGTACATTGTAGGTGCAGGTTCTTCGTGATTCAGGCAGCTTCCATTGGCTCTGAGATTTTAGCGGACTCTCCGTACTCGCCCTACCCAACGCTGCGAAATTAGTTCTTTCGGGGTTAACTGAATGAGGCTCGTTTCTTTTACTGTGTTTAGCATTTTGATACCAAAATATAGCTTGTTGAACTCTGAATGTGGGGGCTGGGTATACTCACGGGTAGTTTGCCAGGCTCTACCAGAGTAGGCATGGAGCTTATTTGTTGGAGGTGACTCCTAACCGCCTCCCATATACTTCCCAACCCCTTGATTGCAGGCTTTTCGCCGATATGACTCATAGAATACAATCCGCATAAGCAAGAACGCTCCCACACACGCATGCATGAATACGCCTAGCAAATACAGAAAGTATTTGCCAAATCAGCGCAGCAGAAACAGGGAGTCCATCCCCTGGATCCACCTGCGTCTCAGGGAAGCAAAGGTCGCTTTTGGTCCGCCATTAACCCCTATCCGCCACCTGGGGACGCGCTACGTAGCCTCGCGACTAACCGACTCGAGATCCCTCATATGAGGGAGATCCGTGATGTTCAACCTCGATAACGCTTGTGAATGATTGGTCTTCGTTTAAATCTCGTAGAAACGATGACCATTAAGAACGGATAGAGTACATGTGTCCCATTTACACTCAAAGGAATGAATATCTCCGAATGTCTTAGCTATGGTTGCCTAAGTCGGGAACTCATCATGACGAACGACTTAGCCCCATAGTTGAGTAGAAGGAGGCGAGCAGATTGAGGAATTTTTAAGAGCATCGAGGATGTAGTGAGGAAAGCAAAGAATGCTCGACTCCTTGCCTACGCTTTGGATTTCACGATTCTTACTGCCTTAACTTATGCGTGAAAAACGTGGTTATTACGTAGGAAGGATAGAAGACCATTCGGTGTTGTAGAGCGCGTAGCCGAAAGAGCAATGATACTAGTATCCCGTAAGTGAGATCACGCAAGCGAAAGAGGGAGTCCGAAGCTCGAACTGATGTCAGCGATTGTAGCGTTCTGTGTGAAGGATCAGTGCCGCCGGTCTATACGCCAAATTGTGGAAGATATGATTTTACGGACACGTCTGAATTTCAATCGATGGAGAAGAACCGTTAGTGGCTGAATTTCCCGCGATGTCAAAAATACAGCAGGAAGGCCACCTGTCCCATAATCGGAGTTTTTCACGAAAACACTCCAATGAAGATATGATGCCTGACGTCTCCGTAAAGAGAGTAAAATCATCTGTATTACTTTTGCATGCGGCAAGGGGAAATGGAAGTTTTACTGGCGCGCGCTTAGTCACTGGACAGTAGATGATACAGGTGAATGACGATGAATTCGCCAACATATTTTCATTGGATAGAAAATTTCCTCTGCTTCTCTTCATTTCAGAGTGAGAGCGGCTTCGCATTGAATGTAATAGCTCCTTTTTTGCAATAAACTGGCGCAAGGGCCTCAGTGGTGCAATGGGTAACAAGCGAACTCCGGGAAAGTTAATCGTGGGTTCGAGGTTTTGCAAATTTCCCAGCATCATAGTGGTTGGATTTCACTTAATACCCTGCCTCCGGGATCGGCAAATTGGTACCAGACTTGTCTGGGATGATAGCAGCACTGGCTCGATACATCGGTAGGCTACCAAGAGTCGTGAAGGCCAGATATGTATTCAATCACCTCCAACGATGCTTATTGAAGTCGAATGCTTGGGGAATTCCTCAGGGATTGATCAACACTGGGAGCTTTATCCTTTTTATTTTTTACCCTGCCGTAAGATTTAGTATTAGGCATAAATAGGAAGTTAACATTGTGATTTCGTCATCAGCGTCAGGTGGTGCAGTGGGTATCACGGTGCGCTCGAAAGGGTAATCAAGGGCTCGAATTTGGCCTGAGGTCCGCGTTTTGCAAATATCGCAACATCGTAGTGGTAGTTTTTTTTTATTTTTCACTATTTTTCTAACGCTTCGTAGTGGTTTGACTATTTCTCTTTAATCTTAGTGAAGCGAATTATTATTCCTGTAATGAACAAAATTAGCTAATAAATCGGTGCTACGATTGACCGCACAACACATCTAGTTTTTCGATCTACTTTAAATCGTCCTTGCTTTAGGTCGCACACTGATATTCGCCCGTATAAATGCAAGGAATGCAATTTCTCATTCAAAACAAAGGGGAACTGGACGAAACATCTTAGCTCGAAAACGCATCGAAGGCGACTTGTACAGGGTAAAGTCCGCATGCTGTACCACTCTAAGGTTAGCATCCTATATGTGGGTTTTTGCTAAGGTTCTGGAAATGATAGCGATAACGAAGACGGTCTTGTAATTGCCAGTCCCGATGACGATGTGGTTGAGCAACGGTCTCCATTCGACGAAATGGATTCAATTCTGAACAGAGCGGTGTAAGCTCATAAAATTAGCATGGGAATGCCCCGCGAAAATTTTTGTATAATTTTTTTTAGCAGCTCGGATGAGGAGGCTGACGATCACTTGCCTGCAGTACAGGAATCAATGGAGATTCCCTACAGAAAGTTTGGTCAAGGTAGTACCTTTAATTTATTTAATTTTCGTTGTTTTGAAGAAATGTTATTCTGAAAATCGATATTCTATCGAATTGTAGGCGACAGAAATTCTTGTTTCGTGTTTTACTGTTGTATTATCAAATGACATAGAATAATGTCTATAATTTCGAACTATAGTCGCCAATTTTTGAGTTTGGTGGTGTTCCCATCACCAATGGTATTTTAAACAACTTTTCTTCCTATTTGGAAAGTAGTTTTCTGAAGTATTCTTTAGGTAGATGTTTCAAGTGCACATGAATTATGTAAACATCTGAGTACTTTATTTTCACTTCTAGAGATTATTTTGTCCGAACGATCTGCTCACACACCACCTTCACGGTGGATGCTTGTTAATGAGACAATTGCTAATAGATGGCCAGACCCTGATCAAGCAAGAAATTGTAGCTCTGCTCCGCCATCTGCTGTAAGTCCAATGAAGGAAGAAATTAAGGAGGAACAATGTAAGTCTATAAGATTCTTTCATACCATTTCCGATATCCGAATCATCAGTTTTAAACTTCTTCTAGCCACTACCGCAATGATTGCGTTGTTGACGCCGCTGCCAATGGCAATAGTTCTAACAGCGCCTTCAACTTCCTTCATTGGTCAGCATCAGCAGTCACAACAAAATTTTGCCACTGTCCAACCACCGACACCAATCTATCCGTATCTGTCGAAAGAGGTAAGCTGAAGTTTTCTATATTGCCGGCGTTTAAACCATGATCCTTTATCTCCTTTGCTTGATTCCCAGTTTTTATTTTTAGAGCATCGATTTCAAGATTTTTGAAGGTTTGGCTCTATTGGCCATACAAAAAAAATTTTTTTCGACGTTTTAGGGATCAAAATGTCAGAAGCAGTCACAAAGATAGGTGCAGATCTTGGATACTTGGATACTTGGATGGCCCGTCCTTAATGGTTATGCGGGCCCCAGCGCAATCTCCGTTTTTCGGAATTTTGCTTATTTAGCCGTTGTGGTTACCTAGAGTACCGAGGTCAGCCTGGCCAAAGTCTTTCCCAGGTCGTCGTCACCACAGGCAGCCGTCGCCCTTGTGGATCACAGGGCGATTTTCCACCATGCGACTAGTTTGATGCCAGGAAGGTGGTGGATCCTAGCATTGGTTTACTCTTAGGTGGACTTCCTGATGGAAATGCGGACTCTTTCTCAGCTTGGAAGACCCTGATGGGGAAATGAATCCCACCACTGTACATCGCAACCCGACACCCAGGAACATTTCTGGGTCACGAAGAGGCGGTAAGCCGTTGGGTGGGTCACGCATATTTTTCTTACTTTTTTTTAAAACTTTGTTTGGTCCGTAATCACGTCTGTTGTGCGGATCTCAGCGCATCTGACATCCAATTCGTTTCCTCGAGTACATCGTCCACGAAAGTCTTCCAAGCTTGTGCGTGTGGATTCGGTTGCTGCTTGAGAATTTTCATTTCATCTTGAATGTCGTAGAATGCTGGCCGAGCAATGCTCTTTGGAATTTTGAGCTAGCCGGGTTGGAGCATTCTCCGTTAGATTGCGGAGAGTGATATTTTTCCCAGACAAGTTCGGTACCAGTTTTCCGACCCCGGAGAGGTGCGAGGTTTGGTTGGCCCAGGACGGAATCGAACTATCACCATGCTCGTAATGATGAACATCACTACCACTGTAGTATCCCCCCCTTGGATCACACATGTGAAGCTAAAAAATAGAGCTGTCGCTGTTGATCAATCGCAGAGGGATGCGGAACCACAATGGCTAAACCAGCAGGACTCCTAAAAGCGGATATTATGCTGGGGCACAAAAAGTTAAGACGGGCCGTCCAAGTATCCAAGTAGGTAAACAAATAAAATATAAATTATGTGCATCAGTCCTCTTCACTATATTAATAAATAAAAAGGATAAAGTTCTCGGCGTAGATCAATCCTTGAGGCATGCGCCGTGCATTCGGCTTCATTAAGCATCGTTTGGAAGTAACTGAATGCATACCTGGCCTTTAAAGTGGCTCGCGGAGGCCTACCTATGTATCGAGCGCTGCTATCGTCGTAGACAAGTCTGGTACCAATTTGCCGACCCCAGAAGAATAGAATGCATGGTGGGCCATGGGCGCGGGGACCGATTCCACGTGTGTGTTGCAGGGCGCCTCCGACCACTGCGCCACACGTGCCGCAGATCACACATATACAAATACAAATATACAAATAGACCAATGACAGGGTCTTTCATCGTTTTGCAGGTTTTCACGCTTAATTTTTCTGTTGAGTGAAAATCGATTGACTAAATAGGTCCTGGGTGAATATCTCCGAAATTTACAGTAATCAGCGGTATGATCTTGAAGGTACGCAGTGAAATTCCCATGTGGTTACTCTAGATGGCGAGAAACGTCAAAGTTTGCGCCTTTATTCATTCAAGTGGTTTCGGTGTTGTATGACCTCAAAGTTAATGTATGTGCATTTTTCGTAGCTGAACCATGTTTTGTCTAGGAATCGATGAAGTGTAACCAGTGCGACCGCTCATTTCGAAAAGCCTCTGAGCTAACCTTGCACCAATACACACATGATATCGAGAAGCATCATGCTAGGAATAGAATGTTCCAGGTCATTTGCTTATGAAACGTCCTTGTTTATTTCTTCAAATGTTCTAACTATCTAGTTTTAGTGCCCAGAATGCAGAATCCCATTAAGAACGAAGGCTCTGCTCGCTAAGCACTTGGAGGCCTCACATGGAAGTCACGTAAGTAGAAATGGTTTCTCACGAGCAGTTATTAATGTCTCAGTAGGTTTCTTATGTGTTGTACGCAGGCTAATAGTCTCGCTCTAAATCTAACTTACATCTTGGAGAACAGATTGCTTTTTATTGTTATTTTACATGTCCCACTTCAAGAACTTTAGCAAATTTTACTTTACTCCCCAGCCTCCCCTCTGCTAGTTTTCCACTACATTTTCAATTTCGAATGGGTAGATGTGATCTTAAATGAGACTCTACTTTCGTAACTCTACTTTTTTCTTATTGTACTCCTCTTGCAGATAGATGACAGCGTAACGGCGAGCATTGATCCGTGTGCATCAACGCAATCTGTGCTGGGAGGTTCGGCACCAATCGCTTCAAATCCGAGGTCGTTCGTGTGTTCGGATTGTAACATTGGCTTTAGAAAGCACGGAATTCTCGCGAAACATTTAAGGTCGGTTTTCAACGAATTAGTTTTTTTTAAAGTTGTGAATATGAGAAGCAGTCGCTCTGCTTCGACGTCAAAATATCCTATGAAATGAAGCGCAACGTAAAGGGAAATGAAGTGGAACGGAAGGCACTGATTGCCATTCCTATTATTCTAGCTATTCACTGTTGTGCTCCCATGTAGTTAGTGGAGTTTCTCGAGTTAATGACAACTACTAGAATTAAGAAGATTTCATGATTTTGCATTACAAAGCCATTTACGCTCGTCACTCTCACTGGTATAAACCAGGTATAATTGGCTTTAAATTATTATTATTAGAAGTTTTTTTTGTTTTAGGTCGAAAACTCATGTGATGAAGTTGGAAACCCTCAAAAAGCTTCCAGAAGACTCTTTATCTCTCATTACTAAAAGAGACAACGGTGCATGTCTAAATGGCGTTGACACCACTGATTGTGAGAAGGCGCGGAAATCATTATTCGGTTCGTGATAGTTCTTTTGTTATCGGTTACTTAATAGTTGGTTATGGAGTAGTATAACGTTATTCGCTGCTTGTACTAGTTTTCTTAAAACGAACTTGGTGAATTTTCGGTTTTGTAGAAAACTAGGTGAACTTGGAATAAGTTGGTGATTACGTTTGCTGAAATTTTTAATTCGGTTACTAGCAGAAGTTGTGGCTTCAATACTCCTTCGTTTTTTTTTTTATTGTACAAAAGCGGTTCTGCTGTACTGATTATAGCTGGATAGCGAACTACGATGAGAACCAAGCAAACAAATGAAAACACTTGTGAAATGCTAGTAAATGTAGTAGTGTCAACATTTGGATTAGCTTTTAAGTTTCAACTCTGCTGCATACTACATTTCTTTACATAGGGGGTGTGAAACAAGTGGCGGTTTTGATTGAAATTACTCAATTATGAGTTGTTATTAATATATTGGGCGCGTGTGGCGCAGTGGTCGGAGGCGCTGTGCAACACACTCGTGGAATCGATCCCTGTGCCCATGGCCTACCAATCCCTCCAAGGTCGGAAAATTAGTGCCAGACTTGTTTGGGAGGATAGTAGAGCTATTTCGATACATCAGTAGACCGCCGCGAGTCACTGTAAGGGCCAGATATGCATTCATTCACCTCCAAACGATGATTAATGAAGTTGAATGCATGGCGCTTGCCTCAGGGACTGATCAACGCCGAGAGCTTTATCCTTTTGATTTATTAACATGGTGAGGAGGACTAGTGCACATAATTTATATTTCATTTATTTACCTACTTGGATACTTGGACGGCCTGTCCTCACTTGTTGTGCCACAGCATAATATCCACTTTTCGGAGTCTTGCTGGCTCAGCCATTGTGGTTCTCTGGAGTCCCGAGGACAACCTAACCAATGTTTGGCTCAGGTCGTCACCACCACAGGCAGTCGGCGCCTTTGTAGATTAGAAGGAGATTTGCCATCGTGCAACTAGTTTGATACCAGGACGGCGATAGATCCTGGTAATGGATTACTCTTAGCTGGATTTCCTGGAGGAAACGGCGGATTCCTTCTCAGCTCGGAAGACCATGTCTGGGAATGAATCTCTCGCTGTACACCGCAGCCCGACACCTAAGAGCACCTCATAGCCACGATGAGGTTGTAAACCGTTGGGAGGATTTTATATGTTTGGAATTAGAATTTAGAAATGACTTTGTGCTATGTTATGTGACAAATCACACTTCATATTTTGTTAGGTGCATGAGGAGTGTAATCATTTAGATAATTGAACCGCTTTGTTCAAGTATGTATGAAAGTTGCTAGATCGCTTCTCGTTTACAGAAATAGTGGAAATGATTCGTGCGGAGAACCAGCGTGCTTCCACTCAAGCAGCCCCAGCTAGTTCGTCGACAGGAGCTCCGAAAGCAGGTGCCCAAACAGCCAGTGGTTCGGAAGGCCAGGAGGAGCAGATGGTTGCCTCGCTAGTATCCGCAAATAGTGTTCAGAAAAAGGCTAGTACATAAATAGAATTAATTATTTTTAATATACAGGAGAGGTTGAAAACTCAGATAAGTGCCAGAATGAGAACCTTTTGATGCAAGTGCTTTAAAACTGCACTGCTGCCTGGAATTTCCAAATGCGGCTGAAGAATATGGTTGTTCGCATTGTACATTCTGTTATGCTTGCATTCTTGCCTTCTTTTCATGATTTAAAAACTTTTTTTTGCATTGCTTTTCATTGAAACATAGAAGATTTTCTTTGAGACCTTTCCAAATGAGAATGTGCTGCTAAGCGTTACAATGAATTAAAGCAAATTCAGTTGTCTTATAGGCGGAAATAAGGCTTTTAATACTCAGTTTTATTCCAAAATAATATTTAGGGTGCTGAGACTTTGTGTAACGGACAGCGTTCAAACAGTGAGGAGATTTCATCGATACAACGGTCTCAGAGTTCTGATATTGCTCTATCTACAACTGCTGTTGATTCCAGTGACTCTTCTAAGAACAGGTATTCTGTCCAAGTATTTTTATGTTGCTCCGATTGAATATTTGTCGTATCTTCTTGAATTTTTCTTCGCAGACGTGTTTGTTTTCAACTTTAGGAGTGACCCGACAGTGCGAGAGAGCTCCAACCCACCTCGTCGTGAGGAAACCTCGAACACCAAATGTGTTTCGGCTAACGTTTGGATACCACCTCGCGCTGACGTACCCGTTAGTGTGAGTGTTTTACTAATAGCTATTGGTCATTATTATGCGGGTATGTTCATGGAAAACATATCGGGTTGTTGTAAAAAAAAATATCTAAGAGCAGAATTTCGAAAATTGGCAGCTCATGCTCGGAATTCCCAGTAACATTAATCACTGCTGTCTTCGTGCATTTTAGGAATTCATAGTACCTATTCATTCAGGTTCCACGTATAACTAGAAGGGTGAACAGGAAAGGTAAAGTGGTCAAAGTGCGTTTTTCGAAGCAAGATCAGGCTAATACTTTAGTAATCCTATTGTTTACGATTTTTAAAGGTTATCCAAGTGTTCAGTTTCTGTACTATATATCTGATGTCGGAAATTTTCCGTTGTTATTTCCAGGAACGTTCCTCTTCCTCTTCCTCTTCAGCCCGTAACGATGCGTGCAACATTCGAGCCGTTCAGGAGGTTGTTGCTGAGTTGCGAGAGGAGACTGAAGCGATTCGCGCCCTTTCTTCTCCTGTTCAAATGGTTTGTATTGTAGAAATGTTGATCTTAGTGTACGATATCTCTTTTCCTTATTTGTTTTCTAGCTGTTACCATGGAGAGCTTAAAAGAATGTGAATGTGGTAGGCTCAGCTCTGTGTTGTTAGGAGGAACGGAATTTAAAGAAACAAAAACAGTGGAAAGAAAAAAACTGTTCCGAATTATCAGTTTTGTGAAGCGATTGCAAAAGCGTTGATCTATTTTACGAACTACTAGAATCGTCTTCATCTTATTATTGAAATGCCTGAGGATTACAGTTATGCTTCAGGAACCGAGCACGTGTTCTTCGCCAGTGGTACGTATATTAAACAGTAATGGTTTTGCTGCCTCTCCTCTGATGCCTCAAGGCACAAAATGTCAAATATGTGGAGTCAATGCGGACAGTCCTCTTGAACTACAAGTGAGGAAAATCGGATTGTCATCACTTTTTTCATCCACGAGATGCAACTTCAAACTGAAATAGTTGGGACATGTCGTCGAATATCCTGAGTGTTTTGAATGAAGCAGTGGGTTTAAGACTGCAGTCACATAGGGTAGCTAGAGTTTAGGCGTTTAACAGATCAGGTGTCTATTTTTTTTATCACAAACTCTTAGGATACATCGAACGAAACTTATTGGAATTATAACTCACACGCGTTCTCAGGTGTTTATCACCCTGATTAAACTGCTCATTCTTATTGTATAAAAACTGTGTAGTTGTCGTTGAAGGTTCATCTTTATTCTGATCATATATCGATTCGAGACGGAAAGGACCTTAAATGTCCAAAACGGCATTGTGACAAGGTCTATCCAAACAAAGACAGTCTCAGGCACCATATCATCGCCCACTATCAACAACGTGTCGATGCAACTTCTGGTACGCTTTGATTGCATTTCAGTCATCTAAGTCTGTTCATCTAATGAATGTATAATTGGTAGCAGCGGTGAGAAAATAATGAAGGTGACTCTGACAATCTTGTAGAAGCTCGCGAAGATGATTCAGTCTCATCGGCAACCTCAGTTTTAGCAAGTCGTTTAGCCGATGACGTGATTGATCAGCGAGGCTCTCCTATGTCTGATGCCAGTGAAGTCTCGTGGCCTAGTCCTGCAAGGTATTAACGACTTTAATGTTCTACTAGAAAAAATAAGCGCCGCGCCGCGAGCCGCGAGCACTAATAATTTCCATACTATAAAATTGCAAGCTGAATAGAGAACGATTTAACTGTTGGAGTTGGCGTGTAAACCACGTTTATATATATATAAGGTGTAGAATTGTACATTCTGTTCTATGTTGATTATTGATAGTATTGAATTTCTGCCAGGTGACGAATTGCTGCTAGGAATTTGAAAAGTGAAATTATTTGCTGACTAACAAATTTGAGGGAACATTACTTCATGGTAGTATTGGCATGGATCGCTGTCATAGGCTTGGACCATGTGTTATAGCACATCTCATAAAAAGACAATTATGGATTCAATTAGTTTTTTTAGTGTCGAAGTTTCACGTGCTGGAACGGCATCGGATCCGAAGAGGGCTCAGGAAGATGAGGTGCGATAACGTGGACAATCATTGTGATTTCAAATAAAAAAATTAGTTTACTTCAATTCCTCTATTACTTTCAGAAGAGGCGGGGAGTCTTTCTATGATTTTTCATTAGACTTTCAAAGTTGACGTCTTGTGAATCTTTGCTACGAGCGGTGAATTTTTCAGCAGTTATGCTTGCCCTGTACGCTATGCAATAAGTCCTTCAGTGATGCCGTGTCTCTGCAACAGCATTGGTTCCGTCATGTTTCTTCAAGAATTCATGTTTGTCAGGTACGTTCGCTTCTTAATTGCTGCATGTTATGCTGATTTTTCTAAATGGAGGTTTTTAACTCAGATCGAAGGGTTCCTTCCTAGAAATACTTTGTTAGGTAGGTAACATGGCGAAGGTGTAGTGCGATTTAGTATTCCACAATCAACAGAGCTCTGGAATGTGTTGATGATCGAATTTCTTGATTTGGTGCTCCTCTTTTTATCTTTTTAATGTTGCTAGAACTGCGTCTATGTTCGTTGTAGGTTTTCTAACGGCCACATTTAAGAAGGTTCTGCTTAGTTTCTTTCATACTTCACTTTTTTCTGTTAAGAGTTTATTTAATCGTTATCGTTCAATTGGGCGTGTGTGGCGCAGTGGTTGAGGAAGCCCTGCAACACACTGGATCGATTCCCGCGCCCGGGACACACCAAGCCTTCCATCCCTCCGGAATGGGCAAAATGGGTACCAGGCTTCTCTGGGAGGATAGCAGCCATGTTTGATACATCGGTATTCCACTACGAGTCATTGTAAAGGCAAATATGCATTCAATCACGTCCAAACGAGCTTAATGAGCGTTATCCTTTATTCATGCAAAGTACTGTTAAAATTTCTTGATTAGATGAAATAGTGTTCTGTTCTGTCTATCGATTCTCCAGATATAGAAGATGTTTTTTCTCCTGTTCATATAATCAAATGACCTTTTCTATAATTTTTATGATTGTGCGGATTTCAGTATAACTGAATATTTGGGTTTTGTACAATTTATGAAGGTGATTTGTTGTACGCATTTTGACACGAAGTTATGAGCTCCTGCTTTAATTTCCACTAATTTGCTTGAGTGTTGAACTCATCCATCATCCATTTTGAAGACATTGTAGATCTTTCAAGTGATTTTGCACCCGTTTCGAATCTTCATCTGTTAAGCATTATAAAATAGGCATTTTGTGCACTGTAGTTGGCAAAAAGAGAGAAGAATTCTCTCTGTATCATCTTCTGTCCCTCCTACATGCGTACGGTTTTGTGATAATGAAGTAATTCACTATGTTTGTTCAGCATGTTAATCATTCACGAAATGTAGTCCATATGAGCAAAAATTATACTTTTCTATACCTCTTCAGTTCCACTAGGTCTTTGCCTTAATTTTTTTTGGGAGGGGGGGGGGGGGGGGGGGCGGGGGCGAATATCTTCTCTCATTTTTTTCATAACCACACTTCATTTAGTTTCTGTAGCATCAAATATGCCTTCTTAGAAATCTGATGAATAAGTGCAATCTGTAATTGTGAATGTTAGAGGCAGATTCGGCACTCCTTTTTCGAAGGTTGAACATCGCACTTATTCGCCAGTAGAAGTGGAAAGCCGTTGCAATTTGTTCAAAGCAAATGCGCATAGAAGTTATGCATTACTTCTCTTTGTGCTCACATTTGTTTCTCTTCAAGTGACAGAGCTGGAAACGCTGTTTATTTGCTTTATCGTAATATCTCTGTCTTCAAAAAGTTCGCGAAATTTTTTGGTACGCCATTTGAGAAAAGTGAGGTACTTGTTCTTTATTGTTCTGCTCGTTTATGTCTCTATGTGTTTTTCGATATGAATATATCCAGTATTAAGTTTTAGAGGAAGTAATTTAGATAATACATGCTCTCAGAGACTGAAAACTAAAGTTCTCAGCTCTGCTTTTTCTCTGATTTTCTTTAGTGATACGCAATTTCAGGTTTGTGATGCTGGTTTCACCACCTCAGATGCTCTCTCACAACATTCCCTAACTCACTCGGCGCAGCCCACTCGTTAATAGGCGATATTGTTTCCATAGTACATACATTTTATCATTTTATAAGTGTTTTTATTTTCATACCATCCATTTTCTTTTTTGTACTATTGGTTTTGTCTTTCGGGTTCAGTTGAAGCTGTTTTGTTGTTTGCCACGTTACTTGTTTTTCTCATTGCTTTGCTATTATTATTTGTACAGATAATGATTACCGCTATATTGGAAGAAGATTACTGAAATTACAGTCAGATATGAAGAGGAGTTCTTTTTATTTTGTTTTCTCAATACTGTTGTCATAACATTCACTGAAAACAATAATTATCATCGAGTGAAATGTGTAGATTTTTGCGTATGTTCTGTTTGTCAAGGCAGTTTTGTTGTCGATTGTCAGGTAAACACATCTCGTTTTGTTCACTGATATCGATTGTTGTTTAGATGGGATTGTTTGCAACATGTATTACTTATATTGATGGATTTCGATTAGAGGAGTTTCTATTAAAGTTTCACATAAGATATGTTCGCATAAGAGAATAATGGACAAGGAAAACATCGTTGTATATGGGATTTGTCGTTAGTAGTCCCACGCAACAGCGCAGTGCATAAATTAAGCTTTCACTGCACGATAGTCAACAGTCTACATTATTTTCGTCATATTGGTCGATTACTTGAGAATTATGTTTAGGCAGAGGTGGGGATGTTCTCCTCCGGGAATTATGGAAGTTGCGATCCGAGTAATACCAATCTACGTGCCTTTCACGAACTAGAGCTCTGCAGTAGCGGGATTTGTTTACTTGAAAGGCGGCGGTTCATCATGCCTTAGTCCAACTCTTCGCTG